TTTTTTTTTTTTTTTTTTTTTTTTTTTTTTTTTTTTTTTTTTTTTTTTTTTTTTTTCTTCAAAATTAGTTTTAAAAACCGAGTGGCTACGTTCATGAATAAAATAAGGATTATAGGACAGTTATCCCAAGATGTATTTTCTGTACGATCTACAACGTTTTCATACATAATCCTTGGTCCTGGAATGTTGCATAAAAATATTTTTTGGCCTTTATTTTCGAAACTATATCATATTTATGAAAAAATGCACAATACAGCAGTACCTACTGTAGTTTTGTAAGATTTACAACTTTTGTGTTCCAACTGTTGTGCGTAATTTTCAAGTTGTATACAGTAAACAAATATTTTTATTTTTTATTTTTTATTTTTCTTTGGAATCCATAGTGATGACACAAGTTTCGTTTTGGTGAATTATTGCTATTTGTTCTCGGTGAAACAGTGTAACTCGTCTTGTTGCACTACTCCAAATTTAGAGCATCAAATAATGGCGCAAAGTTAACGACTTTCGGGAAACTAATGCGTATAATCTATTGGAAATTCGGGACTTGATGATTTATGCTCCAAGATGCACCAGCATTCCAATATTTTAATGTTTAAATTGTCGCAACAACGAGCCAATGCATTTGTTAAAAATAACATCGCAGGGAATTCCAACGCTTATAATAGCGATAGCTGGAATCGACGATGCCGCCTCGGTTGCCGTGTACGGCATCATTCAGAGCGTCATGTTTTCGCAAGACGCACTTTGGTACCAGATACTTCAAGGCCCAATCGCGATCTTCGGGGGAATAGGATTTGGAGTTTTATGGGGCGTGCTTTCCAGATACGTGCCGGAGAAGGGTGACGTGAGTCGAAACACGCTAAATTATTATTATATATAAAGGAAAAAAAAGAGAGACGAATAAAACATGTCCATTCCAATGATAACAGCCGTTCGTAGTGCCATTGAGGGTACTAATGCTGTTCAGCGGTGGGCTGCTGTCGGTCTTTGGCAGCGAACGGATCAACCTTGGCGGTGCCGGTCCACTTGCCGTCGTAGCCGCAGCCTTTGTCAGTTTCTACTTTTGGCAAAAGGACGGCCTGGATGTAGAGGATGTAAGTATCGCTTTGAAAGTTACACAAGTACCGTCACCCTTTGGAAAATTCAATGTTGAGAATATCCTCCAGAACCCCATATCGACGTCCTTTGAGATATTCTGGATGCTGTTCGAGCCAATCCTGTTTGGGATAACCGGCACGCAAATCAAGCTCAACGAGCTCGACGGCAACACTGTCTACGTGGCGATGGGGTGCCTCGGAGTGGCCTTTATCGTTCGAATGCTGGTGACCATCCTCGTGGGCGTGGGCTCGCGCTTCAACCTCAAAGAAAAGATATTTATAGCATTGGCGTGTATGGCAAAGGCGACGGTGCAGGCTGCTTTGGGGCCGGGCACCCTTGACAAGGTAGATCACGAGAACGAGACCCAAAAGCGCTACGCCGAAATCGTCCTGATGCTATGCGTCCTCTCGATTCTGATCACCGCACCGACAGGTGCCATTTTAATCATGATATCCGGGCCGAAGCTCCTTACGAAAACGCGCGCTCCCATCGTTACTACGTTGCACGACGGTTGGCGATCCCGGAGGCCCTCGATCCGTGACATATCCATCATCGATGAGCTACCCGATCTCGAGGACCCAAAAAACGGTACTCCCGTCATCACCGAGATCATCACCAACAATCAGGCCCACCCGCATCACATAAACTTTACCAATAACCATCGGTAACCTCGCTCCCCCTCCCCCTCTCCCAACAACCTACTTTTCCCTAACTTCTCATGTTTGTTAGTTTGTTGTATATCCGTCCGTCATTTGCTACTGTTTCGTTTCGTCGCTCTCCCATCATCAATTATTTGCACCCCTTACCTCTATACCTTGTTACATCACGTAATACATCATTACCTATACATGTACACTAGCGGCTAGCGTATTATATACTTATTTATGATTGTACTGAAGCGTCTTCTCGTTTTGTATTTACAATCAGTGCCGAGTTTGAAATAATTTATAATTTACATTCAACTGGAAACATTTATTTATTCATAAATATGTTTGATTTTTTTTTTTTTTTTTTTTTTTTGGACCGAGGCGTAGATAATAACATTAATTAGTATTGCTCTCAATAAGACGAGGGCCAATCAATTAGAGTCAAAATTAAAAGAGAAAATAAAACATGTAGAAAAAGGTTTAAAAAAAAAAAAGTCGAGACCGCATTCCGGTCAATTANAAAAAAAAAAAAAAAAAAAAAAAAAAAAAAAAAAAAAAAAAAAAAATCCATCGACTTCAAAAGTAAAAATGATAAGTTGCATTGGAGCGTGGAAAAAAAAATTTCTCTAGTTCTGGCGAACAAAAGTTTAGAGTCGAGATACTTTGAAATAAATTGGGAGCAATTAAACTTAATCCGGGCGAAACATACATATACACATACATAAGTCAGTACAAAATCCGATTTTGAAAGTTGAAAAATTCGCTATGACGTTTGGTCGAAATAAAAATTATTCTGCCTTTAAAGCAAACGTATTGCCTTAATATTTTTCAATCATTAATTCATGCTTGAAATTTATATATTTGCCCTTAGCATTTACAATTTTAAGATACATCAATACAACAATAATTAACGACATAACAATATGTATATACATTGAGTACAGGTATATATTTCTTAAGCGTCACAGCAATGAATACAATTGTTTCATCACACCAATGCCTGTTTACCATAATAAAACTAAATAAATAAATAAATGCAGTAAAGACAAATCAATTAGTCTCCATTTCCATTAAATTCTTCGTTTCGTTTTGGTTTCGACGTCAAAGCAAAAGTTTGAGGAACGATCCTTCTATTGATGTCCGCGTGAATGCTCACTTCGCCTTTTGCGTATATAATTATATAAAAAATTATGATGTAGAAATCGCATACGAAGCTGTCTGTAATGGAGTTGGCCTACCTACAGGGAGGGCGTTATCATTACGCGCGCACGGTGTAACCAAGTGTGTATCAAGAGCTAGAGCTGAGCCTAAAGTTGAGGGTGCTACTGCTGCTTAAGCTCTTCCGAGGGTTCGAGGTAGTGACGGTCAGAGTCATGTTGCCGCGTTTATTTTGTGGGTTGCCAAAGCGTTTCTGGAGCGCCCGGTATACCTTTGGCTTGAGAACCAATAGGATGAAGATCCAGAGGCCCTGCAGTGAATTCACCACGTCCGACGCAAAGGCCACTTGGTTCAGCCACCATGGCATCATGTTGTAGTGGTTAGGGTAGGATGTCGCGTTATCCAGCAGCCATGGGATTCCCATCACGATGAATAGCTTGAAGTTCATTATCAACCTATGGTGAATTTTTCTTTGAAAATTAGGAAACTGGCATGTAATCAACGTAGTTGATGGTTTTTTAAAATAATACAAAAAATAAAAGTCCAGCCCAATACATTATCTACTCGGTAAGCCGTCTGTCTCCTCGTATTATTAACATCACGTATGTTATGATTACCTCTCTGTATAATAATAAAGAAAAAAAAAAAAAAAAAAAAGCCACTCCCTAGAAAATGTTGGATACGTTTTCCCAAACTTATTACTAAACCCATGTACGAGATTTTGAAAATTTATTATACAGAGCTCGCGCACGGGGGGGGGGGCGTAGACTAAAAAAAGTTTCCCGCGTATAGTTTAGTAAGACCGGCGTATCAGCCGAAATGATATAGATTTATGTACGTATGCTATTGCCCGTGTATGCATAATAACGTGTCCACTCTTTTTTTCATTGTTAAAAAGTTCCAGCTCGCGGCAGCCGATTTCGCACCTTGTGGTATTTTTTTCTCCTCCGCGACCACCCAACGGCCGATGGAATGACTTAAACTTACCTCGTTCTGTCGGAATGGAATCTTCGCGCTTTAGGGTCCCTCTCGTTAGCAGTGACTCGTTTGATTTCCGCCTTGACTTTACTGCAGCGGCGCGCCGTCGTGGTAAACAGCGCCGTGTTGACGAGGAGCGTTATACTCACCGGGGTGATGAAAACCACCACCTCTAGCACCGTGCTCTCTATCGAAAGGCAAAAAATGCCGAATATCATGGGGGATGAGAACAAAGTTACTCTCGTTTGACCAAAGAAAAGGAATTTAGAAGGAAGGCATCATCTCTATTAATGCAAATCGATTCCCGATGCTTTGACTTTAGCCGAGCTGCAACTACATTTGTTTAAGTTTATTTACGTGTAAGCTCGTGAATTACGTCACGATTTTTTAATAAAGTGAGTTCCCCCCCCCTCCCCGTTAAAACATTGTTTTGTAAACCACAATGTTGAAAATTTTTTTTCCTTGTTCTTCAGTAACAAGTGCAAGATATTTTATAATATACGATGATATTTATATGAGTTCCAAATTTAAATCTACATTGAACTTTTTTTTTTTTTTTTTTTTTTTTTTTCAAATTGCCATGCGTTGGATGCAAAAAATAGTAAAAGCATATCCGTCCCCAATATGTATATATACATTTGTCAAAAATGCAGAATAGGGGGAGGAAGAGTCTCGCCAGTGAATAGGTAATATGAGAAAAAAAGACGCGGAATACTGGCGGAGGAGAGGGAAAAAAACGGGGAGTCTATAAGGCGAAAGGTATTTGAGGGGGAAAGGAATTCCCGGGGAATTCAATTAATTTTTCTATGGCCGGTCCCGTCGGCAAGGAGCTTTTTTAGTACTTGACGAGTAGGTCTTGGAGGGAGATAATGTACTCACTGTCGAACCAACACCTCTCGCGTCCAAAGTTGGAGGGCAAGAGGCCCAGTCTGTCCACGGCAACGGTGAGTCCAGTCAGGAGAAGGCTAACGCCCCAGGAGTAGAGGCAGTAGATCAGGAACCTGTTTCTCTGTTGCGCCCTCTTACTCGTCGGATTTGCTGCTCTGTGCAGGCCCCTGTTTGTTTTTTTTTTCCCACGTTATTGGTACTTTCTTTTTTACTCCCGCTCCCAAGTTTTATCCTCAATAAGCGTATAGGTACTTGGATAAATACTCGCTCGCATTCATTAGACATGCCCATTCTCTCGCTCGCTGCGCGCGAGAGCCATTGTGTTCTCTTTTATATATTACCATACGAGCTCTGCAAGCTTTCCGTGTGCCATTCAGAAGGGTATACACACACACACACACACACACACACACACGTATTGAAAAATACGTCCAGCTTTCTTTCTATTACTCACCCCTCGCGTGCGTTTCAACGTTGATTTTTCAGTGTTTTCAACATTTTTCTGGAGAGATACCCAGCGGCCATCGGCGGAAAATTCTATTTCCGCCGAGCTCGCAAACATCTTCATTAGCTCTGGCATGTAGGTATCCCCCCTTCAAAGCACACAACGCGCGCGCGTGTTTATTTGATCTTGCCATCGACGCGGGAGCATCAAGACCGTCGTTTCCCATGCATACTAAATATAGATGGGTGTGGGGGATGCCGTAATACACCACACATCATCGCGCGCGCCGCTGAGAAAAATAAATTAATAATTTCTTTTCAAACGCAAAAAAAAAAAAATCAACATTTTTTGTAACTTGAATTTAAAAAAAAGCCAATTTTTCTCAACATTTTGATTGAACCAAAAAAATATCGTGTTGAATTTATCGCGCAATCAAGCGAATATTTATTAACCTCTACAATCCTTTTGATAGTTTAACAAATGTATATCCAAAGTGGTCCATTTAATCGTAATTTTAGCTCTATTCCGCGATCGTTGACATTGCGAAAAATGTACCACCACACCGCGTCGGGGATGAAATACTTGCGACGATTGCATGTGTATCAAAGATACTATTTGTGTCGAGCCGCTCTGCGACGCTCTTTCAATGTCACACAGTATTACAGCTTGCAAGAACCCGAAAACTAAAAATTACCACTATGACCTCGGGGGAAAAAAAAAACTTGACATTGGAGGTGAGAGACAAAATTGTCATCAGGAAAGCATGGGAACGTACTTCCGAATGATCTTCATGATATCTCAATCGTCGAATCGTAAAAAAGATAAGTAGTTTGGGTATTTGGATAAACTATGCGCTCAGCTGCTAGTTTATCTGGCGTGGGCCAGAGAGTTTGAAAAATAACATACGCGGTGGATACGTACCCGAACGTCCACCAGATATCAAAGCACATGACGTTGAGCCACAAGAAAGTCGCATAGAACCAAAACAGCATGACGTAGCCTGCGAAAGAAGGAAAAAAAAAAAAAAAAACATATTAAAAGGGTATGGTGCAGGTGACTTGACCAACAATTGTGTAAAATTAAATACGCACCTAAATACAAACAACTAATGTCAGCGAGTTCAGAGTTCAGATCGTCGAGTATATTATTTGTCGTGATGGTGATGAACGCCAGACAGGCGTAAGCGAAAAATAAACTCGCCACGTGGCACATGATTGTTTTGCCGTGTAGATTTTGTAAAGAGGGCAGCCACATGTACACCAACAGAGTTGCGAGAGCAAAGAAACAACTGATCAACTGTAAAGTCGTTGTCACGGCGTAGGATCTTGAAAAATTAATTTTTTTTGTTTTATGCAATTATAGGTAAACAGGTACGTGAGTTGTGTGTTTTATCGCAATCTTCTTACCGATCCCTATGGTCGTCGTATTCAAAACAGACGAAAGGCTGCAAGCCGGCGTCGATAAAAGTCCCATTGCTATTAAAAAATTCCAGACAAGAGTTGGCGTGACCATAGATCTGAGTCACTGGATTCCGCACCAGGATCTCCCCCATCGGTCCGATTTCCCAAACTTCTTCCTCGGTAACGGCGTACATATTCTTGCACGGCTTTCCAAACAATAGGCCGTAGTCTGGTAAATTACAGAGGAAAAAAAAAAAAAAAAAAATCATAAAAGTATTTAGGTAAAAAAGAAGCCAATACGGGGGTATTTTACATTTACAACACAAACTTTGAGTATCACGGGCAGGCGTGGCGTTGCTTCTCTCCACAGCGCGGGCTACCGAGGTACGAAAGTTCTCAATGTTCCCGGTATCGAAATTGTCCATACACATGGTATCGTCAACTTTGCTATTCAAGCAGCACTTTCTGACGCAAGGATTGGCTTTGCAGTAATCTAAACCTCGACAAATCCTCGCTACGATGTGATCCGGGGACGCGTCGACGTCCAAGCACGCGCTCGTCTCGTCGACGGTGACGTTTCTCCTGCCGTAGCCGTTCCCCGGAATCGCGATCTGAAAATTGCATTTGTTCAAAGTACGCAAGCTCCCCTCGAACGGTGGATACAATGCCCATTTTACCATGGTATCAGTGGAGGTGTAGTAAACGTTGTTCAACGGGACCCTGAAGTCGACGAGCGCGTGCTCGCAGGTGGGCGGTCCCCGTTGGGCATTGATAAAATCGATTCCACTGAGGTTCCAGCGTCCAAAGAGCACCTCGGTCCGTTTAACGCAGAACTTTTTGTCAAAGTCGTAATAGTAGCCGTCATCTGGGCAGCATTTACGCAAATTCAAGAGCTGTGGCGCGGGTTGCGATGGCACAGGCTCCGTCATTTCGATGGCGATGGGACTGCAGCGGATCACCACCGGGAAATCTTGGTGGGACTTTTCGTCGAAAAATACGTCCAGGCAGGCGTTGCTGTTGTCGTCGTCGTTAGCAGAGTCATCGGCCTCGTTGTAATATTCCCACAGCTCGAGGTAGCTCGATTTGTTACACTTGGGCAGTACGCCCTTTGTGTCCTCGTCCTGCGAAATTTCCATTGTTCTTGTTGAAAAAACATCCCGATTCTCGCAGTTTTTACTTATCGTTTGAAAATAATCTTCGACAGAAAGAGGAAGGAGAATTCAATCATCGCGATGGAATGTTTGTTTGGTGAGTGATTCTTCAAACGAGGCTCTGTGCTTTAACGTGAGATATCGAATCCTTTTTTAAGGCACGACCAATACATAGGAGTGCCTTTTGTTTTTTAATTTGTTTTGTTTCGTGAACGTCAAATTAAAAAATGATCAAAATAATTGTTTTTTTTTTCACATGAGTGTTGTCTCAACTGAATCGACGAAACTTATTTCTCCTACCAAGGATACAGTTGAATTCTAGTGAAACCAATGCATTTCAAACACTTTAAAGTAAACTTATTGAAAATTTTTTGTTTTTTTTTTCCAGTATTATGTAAATAGTGATGAAGAAAAATTTTTTCAGCAAATGGAATGCTCTTTTACAAAATTCATACAGTAATTAGTCCAATTGGTCCTCATGCTTAAAAGGACGACATATTATTTTATGAACTTTGCGATAAACGGCCAAGCATGCAAGCAAATTCACAGATCGCATGTGGCTTTTATTTAATTATGTATACAATTTTATTATTTGTAATCATGCCATGTGAGCATCGATCATTTTCACGCCCGGTGAGCACACCATTTTCCGACCTAAATGCTTTGACTTGAAAGTAATACTTTGGATCACAATTGTAGACCTTGCTAAATTAAACGCCTTGCAAGTAACTTTAATCTAACGAAAAAAAAAAAAAAAAAAAAAAAAAATTAAAAAANTTAATTATGTATACAATTTTATTATTTGTAATCATGCCATGTGAGCATCGATCATTTTCACGCCCGGTGAGCACACCATTTTCCGACCTAAATGCTTTGACTTGAAAGTAATACTTTGGATCACAATTGTAGACCTTGTTAAATTAATCACTGTAAAAAAAACTAAAAAAAAAAAAAAAAAAAAAAAAAACCGTTACACGAAATTTAATTATTTTTGTTGATTGTGAGTGATATAATGTAAATCGGTAAGTACAATTGGTATACTTGGAGGTAAATATATTTGTCTATAGAAATAAGCTTATTTGTTGTAAGGAATCCATCTCATGATGTGATGAACAATATAATATCTCGTATGCTTACCCAAATCATCTGTCTATCGATTGAAACGAAAATGTTACAACACAAGATTGCATTGGTTATTCCCCACGTACTGATTTTTTACTTTTCGTCTAGCATTTATTTATTTGAATTTAGCTGCTTGTTGATAGAAGAAGGTAAAAAATGGCTTTTTCTCATCACTTGACGTCACCACCTATAATGTCTTACTCGTGGTATGTAAAAAAGAATTATGTGTGTATTATACGTATGTATATCATACTAATCACTCAAGGAAGACTATATAGACGGTACTTTATTTTTTTTCCAACGCTAACATAGTCCTCGGAGCATCGATAAGTTTGTAAATTTGAAAATTTCTGAAAAAGCTCGAAGGCTTGGCTGACTGTCAAGAACGCGGTGCCCAGGCCGGGCAGAAGGTAAATTAACCAAATGACCAATGCGGCTTGATACACTTGTATTGACAGTCAAATCACGAAGCACCAACCAAACGAAACCCAACAGACTTACGTGCCGAATGTCGGGCAGCGCCTGCACCTGATGTCCTTCGGCCGTTTGTACGCACTGTAGGTAACCAGTGTCATTGAGAACGAGCACGTCTTCTGAGCCACAGCACTTGTCAATGCGGTCTCGGTACAAAAGTGACGAGGCGGCGCAGACAACGAAAGCCAGCCCGACTAGAAACAGTAACCCGAATCCCATCGTCCCGCGCGGGTTACGACGCTATGCTACCATGCATCCACGGTTTATTGTTTCCTCTTGGACAACGAAGACGACGATGATGGTATTCTTTTCTCGTGCAGAGCTATTTTTTCGGGGGAATTCCACTTTTGCCCGTACTATTATTTGTTGCGGTATCTCTGACAACTCTGTTTCTTTTTCCCAGCTCTCGTCGAGCGACCGACAACATACAAATGCTGCACGCTGAAGTTTTTTTTTTTCCTTACGTTAACAAAATTCACAACATATAGCTACTCGTCGAACAATGTGATTTATAAATAAAACCCGACGCGTTTTTGTAAAAAAGGAGGGGTGCAGATAATAAATTTTTATACTTTTGATTCAAATAATCGGTAAAAGGCCAAGCTCAGCTCTTTTTTTTCGCCGAAACAACCAATCGAGTGCTCTTTGTTATTCATCAACTGGTAGGCGTGTCCGTGCAACGTCAACATAATTTTAAAGGAAAACTAAAATAATGACAATCTTTGGAATCTCGAGTTTTTCAGATTAGTTTCATGTACGCACCGGGCGACACACGGAAAAGTGCAATTTATACTTGATTACAACAATTGTACCTTTTCTGGGACCGTTGAAAAGTCACAAAACACGCTTTTTTAATTCTTCGGTACTTTTTTTTTTCTACTCTGAAGAAAAAAAAAACAAACAACTTGAACCAAAGTACACTGTATATTTTTCGACGCACACACCGCTACAAGTGGATTATGCGAATCTTCAAGTTTAACTAGACGTGACTAAAAAATAGTCAAAAAAGGCGAATAAACCGAAAAGTAATAATAAAAGAAGCAACAGCGGATATACATTGTATAAAATATACAAGAGTGCGCTCGATTTGCCGCGCGCGAGCGTTTTGCCGGCTCGTTCGCGATGCCGAGCCCAGTTGACTCTGAGGCAAGAGCAAGAAAAAGAAAACAGTAATCCTGGCTCGTTCAAATATTGACTCGACTATATATGCACGTCGACGAGAACAAGGAGAAAGAGGAGGAGGTGGTGGTGGTGGTTCGTCGTGGCTAGTTTTGAGCTACCCCTCCTCCTCATCGTACAAGAGCAAACACAAGAGAGAAAGAGCACTTATATACTCTCGGACGCTTCTGTTCTAATACTTACCTTTGTATATATATGATTGGCTTTGCAGTAATCTAAACCTCGACAAATCCTCGCTACGATGTGATCCGGGGACGCGTCGACGTCCAAGCACGCGCTCGTCTCGTCGACGGTGACGTTTCTCCTGCCGTAGCCGTTCCCCGGAATCGCGATCTGAAAATTGCATTTGTTCAAAGTACGCAAGCTCCCCTCGAACGGTGGATACANATATATAAAATACTGGTCCGCAGTGTCCGCACACCAACTCACTTGAATCCATGTATCTGTATACCAGAAAACGTACGCGCCGCACCCGCTCTCACTCCCTCTCTGTTTAGCACGAGAGAGTGGGTCCACGCCCTTGATGGTTCGAATTACGAACTGGATGGCGATAAGTCGCCTGGTCACTATATTATCGGTGTAATCAATCGTCGCGACTTATGCATACGCACTACAAAAATCGGATATTGACAATCAATTTTTAATTTTCAAAATATCCATACATCAGCTCTATTTTTTTTTTTTTTATATACTTCTAAAATACCTCCTACTCTCCTTCGATGGGATTCCTGAAATGTTAATCACCTTATTACTGTACAACACGACTAGACCGGCTTACTCCAAACGAACGCTGAAATCAACATTTCATTCACAAATTGAATGACTCGCTTTTCTTTTTTTTTTTTTTTTTTTTTTTTTTTTTTTTTTGGCGTTCCAAAAAATTATTTTTCCGACATGTACATTTCGTTATATTTTTGCGTCTCTCCAACGTGTACTTGTCTACAACTAACCGAGGTTGTTATGTATATAGAGTGGGTCTTGTATGGCTTTTAAAAGAATTGGCGAGAAAAAAATTTCCGCGAAAAGTACTGATACACCGATGAGCAACTTGCGATATTTTTAAACGTATATAGACTGAGACGCGTGAAAATTTTTTCCGTACGATTTTTCACGGGATAACAATTCAACGGCACATATTTGAGCGATCTTGATCCTAGCACCGGGATACTTGTGCTAAAATTTTCCTCGGAACCTCGCATTTTTTGTCTCAAAGAAATAACAACATGAATTTATTTTACAAATAAAATGTAATAAAAATTGAAGAAAAAAAATACACCTCATTCGTACAAAAACCATGGATATAGACAAACAGTTGCAATGGTAGTTGCGGCTATTAATGTAAAGATTCCTTCTGACCTAGTTGAGCGAGAAAAATTTAGAATAACAGACTTGATACTCATTGTGGCAAAACATCAGGGGGGCTCTCAACCATCAACAACTCGATAGAAAAAGATCTCAGAGCTCGTAAAAAAAAAAAAAAAAAAAAAAAAAAAAAGAAAAACCCGAATCAGGTACTCCGTGTAAAGTATCCCAACGTAATTGCAAAAAAAACACTTGTCTTACGTTTCGGCTACTTTTACGAAAGAGAACACTCGAATGAATGGGATAACTTGGACAGACAGGGGGTCAGCTCTATACACCAAGTACAAAACAAGAGGATGCAGTACCCGTATAAATGGAAACCCTGGGGAGGAAGAATGTATATAGGGTTTTGCTATAACTAGAGCTGGAAGAAAGGTGCCGATGAATAAATATTACACCAGAGTTTACTTGCTCGTAGGTCCACCCCATCATCTCTCATGAAAATAAGGCCACGCAGAGATTTCTTACAATTACGTTTATTCGGATAAAGCACATTGAATAATGTACGTCAGATGATGGATGTAAAACCATTGTTTTTTTTTTTTTTCTTTGCTTCCAAATACTTGGTTCTTTGTAAACAAGTATTGTTAATGTGCACTTTACGAATTTGAATACACATTTTTTCAACTATACGCGCCCAACGCTCATACCGCGGTCTACTTACTTTATTATCAGAAGATTACGGTTTCAGTGGTGACCCCGTAGAAAAAAAAAAAAAAAAAAAACTTGTGTATCAATTTTTAATCTCGTCATCAGCGCATAATGAATTATACGCGCTTTAGAAATACATGAGCCAATCGGAAATGTATGTTTAAATTTTCCAAAGCACCTCTGCAGTTACTGTACACATATTATACATACGTATACAAACGCAAGATAGCGAGCGAAGAAGATGTATGAAAAAAAAAAAAAAAAAAATTAAGCGCGCGTAACCGTGGGAAATGATGTATATGAACAAGCTGGGAGCCTCCCTCTGTTTCCGTGGGGTTATATATATGATTCCCAACACCCCTTAACACATTTATCAATCGGCACGAGCGAGCTATTACATACTCCCATAAATTAATGGTTCACGGCTGATTTGCAAAATTTTACGTCGTTTCCTTGATTAATTCATTTTTGGATATACTCTGTGCATTCTCCACCACCTTCACCGGGTATTTCCATCATACTTGAGATAATGTTTAGATTTTTCTCTCTCAATTACAGGAAAATTGCGAATTTCCTTAAAAAAGTTAAAGTTGTCGTCAAACATCTAATTATTACCTATGCTCATAAATATATTGTGTGTAACGTCTCGGATCCATAAAGTTTGATTTTAATTATTCAAATATCGCATGTTGAGCGTTAGTTTAGTTTGAAACATTAACTATAAATATCAGTCATTTGATTTGAGACTTTTGTTATAGATATCTGACAAATACAATATAAATACAAACGTTCCTTCATATTAATGTATTGTTTCGCTATTTTATGATTATTTATTATTTACATTACAATGATTATAGTTATTTAATAACTGAGATATTTGTGATTATTCCAAATAAAATCATTCACACAGAAAAATTTTCACATTAAAATCGAGATATCTTCTTCCACTCAACTCGCGACGAACATGGATAATATAATATAAATATATATATAAAACAAAACCCAAAAAATATGTTGCGAATTAAAACTCAGCAAGATGTAAAAAAAAATTATCCAAATCTCATTTGCACTTTGAAATGTTTCTTTCGTTGCAACGTCACAAAATTTAGTGATGTCAAGTGCCCTGTATCAAGTGTTTAAATCACGTAGATTTAAATTGGACCTCTCCAATTAAGCTGTAAAATTTTTGCATGAATTATTCTGCAGAGTAACATTACTTTCGCAATTATTATTTATTTTTAACAACATTTTCATCTTGTTTATATTCCATTCAACTTGCTAAAATTTATGGAAAACTAACATTTTTTTTTATATTGATTACTACATGAAGCTTAGTATACGCGAACATAACTATAAATTTTTTTTTTTTTTTTTTTTTCTATATTACAGTGTACTGACACTGACCTAGGAATGTACACTCAGTGGAACTCTGATCTGTCCCGGACCCTATTTCGGAACTATAGAGTGAAGTACTGTTCAATAATAGGGTCCGGGACAGATCAGAGTTCCACTGAGTGTACATACTATATAATTGTATGTACATACATAAGTACGTATAAAGTATAAGTACGATAGTTCGATGCAGGAAAAAAGCAAATCTCCCTGCATTATCGGCAGCAGATGCATGTATGTGTGCACCTTATGATATGGTAAAAAGTTCCCAACTGTCTCTATTAACCGAATGCACTTTTGCTGCAGCGAAATTCTCTCTGTACTCTTTTAAGTATACTTACGTATAAATTTGAAAAACGTGTCTAAACGCAAAGAAAAACGTCAGCGGCTGATGAGCGGCTGGCCAAAATAAGTACGAGAGGGGGTAAAATAAGTATATAAGACATATAAGTACAACATTTACGACAAAGTGTTGGCGTTCGAGAGCATTCGACGTGCGCATCTCTCATCAGTTGCAACGAAGAACGGGAGGAACTCGAACCTTATCGTGCTTGGCAATATAGTATTAATATTTCAAGTTGTGAAGTTATTGCATCATGTAAGTAAATTTATTGCAACCGTTGGTTAAAGTATACTCACATTTCTTCTCTTGTACACTGTTGTCATGGAAAAATAAACAAATATCCATTATTTAGCCGTCGGATTTTAAATTGAACGTCTTTCTGCTCTTTTAACAAACTGTAATCAAATTTGGACCTTCTGTTGTCACATCGCTGTATACAACTTGATAATTATGACTACTTACGTTAAGCACGCTATTTTCATCCATTGATTGTCTAGAAATTTCAACGCTGAGAAAACTAATATCAAATAGTTAACTCTAACCTTGAAATATTTTCTTTTTTCTTACCATCCATTTATTTATGCACAACCATTTTCTCTTGCGAAATGGAATTTTTTTCAATGAAAATGTTATTATTTTTAACATTTTACAGCCGCTGAGTCAACAACAACCACACACAGCTGAATCATGTTGCTAGTACGAGTGTGCCGTAGTACGCTTGTACCACAAACCAAAACGTTATTCAAGCTTCCTACGATAACTAAACCACAGCTAACGAAAATTCAAAACATCAGACTGTTTGCCGATGAAGGACGGACTTCGTTTACCAGGAGTGCCAGGAGACGAGCTACCATCACTGAACAGGCAATGGCTCCAGCTGGTGAATCAGGCAAGTATGGCATCGACAAGTCTGTTTATAGATCAACCCAAGTGTCGTGTCGTGTTGATAAAAAATTTTTTTTATTTAATTCGATTGTAGCATTCAAAGTTGGACAAGGAGCTGTAGCTGGAGGAGCTCTTGTAGGAATCGGAGCACTTTGTTATTATGGTTTAGGTCTGTCTTCTTCCACAGGTGCCATAGATAGAGCAGGGTAGGTTATACAAAACAATTTTTGTTGCGTTTTTTTTTTGCAATTGATGAATCGTTTCATGGGTATTGTTAAATTTCCTTGTAGATTATGGCCCCAATATGTCACAGATAGAATTCATACGACCTACATGTATTTTGGTACTTCTATAGCATCGAGTGCTGCAGCAGCAGCTATTTGCTTGAGATCTCCAGCCATGATGAATCTGGTTATGCGTCAAGGATGGTTAGCAATGATTGGTACAATGGTTGCTATGATTGGTACTGGAATGGTCTGTTAAATTTTTATACATACATTTAAAGTCGATTGAGTAATAGATGCACTTGACCATCATAAATTTTACAGGTGGCACAGAGTATTCCGTACAAGGAGGGATTTGGACCTAAGCAAATGGCTTTTCTACTCCATACTAGCGTTATTGGCACGGTTCTGGCTCCCTTATGCCTATTAGGTGGGTTAGGTTCTCATTTGTTGATTACATTAATTAGTCATACGGGCATGTAATTTCATTTTTAGGTGGTCCCTTAATCATGAGAGCTGCTTTGTACACAGCTGGTGTTGTGGGAGGTATGGATTTCCATTTCAAGTGCATTTATTAGAGCTTGTGTTGTACCGGTTGATTAATTAAAAATACAACCGTAGGTTTATCGGCTGTAGCTGTGTGCGCACCTTCTGAAAAGTTTTTATCAATGGGCGGACCTCTGGCTATTGGTTTGGGGGTAGTGTTTTGCAGCAGCTTGGGTACAATGTTCCTTCCTCCCACTACAGCACTTGGGGCAGGGTTGCACTCTATAGCTCTTTACGGTAAATATTTTCAAGTAAAATTTAAAGAATTATGAGTTGGCTGTGAAGAACTGACCTGTTTTGTGGTATTTGAAAACATGACGTATTATTTTTTTCTTCTACATATGAAATATCTACACAATCCTATTGCAGGAGGACTATTACTCTTTTCTGGATTTCTTCTCTACGATACACAGCGCATTATCAAGAAAGCAGAAACCATGCCTCAGTACAGTTACGATACAATGGCTCCTTTTGATCCAATAAACAGGTAAGCAGTACTACAGTTGTTTCCTTGAGCAACAACTGATAATTAATCGTCAACGTAACAATTAAATCTCATTTTTTAGTGCTATCTCCATTTACATGGATACTGTCAACATATTTATTAGAATTCTCACAATTTTGGCTGGTGGTGGAAACAGGCGCAAATAAATCCATACCAACTAGTTGAATTCATTTCATTATTTGTGAATAAATGTAAAATAATTAAATTATCAAGTATTACTTTTTTTTTTTTTTAATGAGATATTATTCTATGAGATATTTGAATACTATTGATGATGCCAGTAGAATAACTTTGTAGTTAATTATTTATCTCGCGTGTTACCTTGAATTTGGCACATTGGTTTCAAAGTTTGACAAATAAACATTTAATAACTAATATGAAAGTTACGAAAATCTCTGTATTAGGAAATCCACCTGAAAATAAAATTGTAATACAATAATCCATGTTTAGTATTAACATTTGATAGTGTGGTATCACGGGGGACCAACTCTGCTTAAAATTAGTGAAGGCTAGAATGCTAGTTGAGAACCGTAATACGATCTTTTGTATGATTTCGTTGATGAAAAAAATTTAATTGATTCATTCAATCAATCTAAAGTGCCTGAAACGAATTTGTATGTACGATCCCTGTGAAAATGAGAACTTATGAATTAACTAGACCGAGGTCGTCAGTGAAGGCAATAGGTTTAACTTTGTCAAGTTTAATACACGTCGCGTTGGTAGTAAGTTGTGGGAATCTTGTAAAAGCCAACTTGGTAAAAGTTGGGACGGATATCAAATATGCAGAGCTGCTAAAGTGTAAGCTAGAGGTTTAGTGAGTATGATTTTATTTTATTGCTTCTTATTTCAACTGCTGCACGAGATAAAAGAAAATAAGTTGTTGTGAACGATCAAGCGTTCAAAAGGTACAGCCAAGTTGGAAGAGCTTGTAAGAGGCGTACTGACTGGTAATATTTTTGATCGGGGAGCCAAAGTAGTAGCTAAGTTGATAAGAACGTTAAATTTCACGTTTGAGGATGCGTGAAAAAATGTACAAGTTGAGAATTCAGGGTTAACCATTTATGAAATAATTAATTGGTTTCGTTGAAAAAAAATGAATCGACGCGATCAGCTAAGCCATGGTTACATAATTCCTTTGATGCGCTGCTGCATTTGTCGATGATTTCGAGGTTGACATTGTTGTCGGCATATCAGACATTTGTAATTTAATCGCTAATTTTTTTTTTTATGAATAAACTCAATGTAAATGATACTGAAGATTTAAAAGCAAATGTTTCAACATTTCAAGGACCAATGTCCAAAAATTTTTTTTTTCCATGATGACGAATTATCGTCCTTTCCACGATTGCTTCGTTATTTTGCAGCGATATGGCAATTTCAAGATTTATGATCTTGAAATATCTTGCTTTTTGGATTATTTGAATTATTTACAAAGATGTAGCGATTTGAAAATTTCTAGAATTTTGAATTTGAAAATTTTAAATTTAGAGTGTGGTTGTATAATATAATATAATATAAGGGCTTTTGAAACAAATTCCAATGACTCACAATTTCGAAAAGCAAAAAAAAAAGTTCTCTAATTTATTTTTTTTTCCGTACGATTACGAAGTATCGTCCCTTTCTCGGTAGCTGCAACTATTAACAGATATATGGCGATTTCAAGATTTCAATAATTAAAAGATTGAAAAATTTAATTTTAGAGAAAAACTATTCCTTTTCAAGAGCTAAGAGAATAAGAAGGCTGTATTCGATCGCCATAAAGAGCCAATGTCTCACGGATTCAAGAAACATTTTTAAAAATTTTTATGATTACGAAATCTTGTCGTTTTTTTAGTAAAAAATTTTTTTCGAAATTTAGTATAATTACTAATTTCTTTTTTTTGCGCTGTCTGCCTCATTAAAGGGGATATAGCCATTTCAAGATTTCAATATATTTGAGCATGAAAAATGAGAATTTAGAAAATAGCCACTATTTTTTTGGGCTTGGTGGAGCGTAAAAAGCTAATTTGTATCATATTGGAAATTTAACAACAAATTATGAAGATTTTAAGTGACCAATGTATCTATCACAGTTGAAAAAAAAATTTTTCTTTCACATGGTCCTAAAATAACATCCTTTTGCAATATTCGAATTACTTTAGGATATACAGAAATATAGACTTTTCGATGTGGATAAGAGAAAATTTTGTAAAATTTTGTATGATAACAAATTTCGCGTTTTTGTGATATCTGCCTTATTAAAGGAGATGTAGCGATTTCAAGATTTCAATGATTTTTTAACTTGAAAAATTTAATTCAAGAGAATAGCCAATATTTTTTCTACGCTCTGTGAAGGTTAATAAGTCGATCTGCATAACGTAAATAATTCGAAATCAATATATTATCTTTTCAAGTGGCCAATGTTTAAAAAACAAATTTTTTTTTTTCATGATCATGAAATGTCGTTCTTTTTGAAATATTCGCATTGCTAACGAAGATATAGCGATTTGAAAATTTCTACAACATTGAAACTAGAAAATTTTAAATTTAACGTGTGGTTACTACTTTTTTAGGGCTTTATAAGGTATAATGAACCAATGTGTCTTTTTGCCATATTTGCATTATTTACGGTGATATGGCGATTTAAAGTTTTTGAAAATTTTCAGTACAAATATTCCAAATTCAGAGCATAGCCCATGCTTTTTTCGCGCTCCAAGTGATGAAATCACCTACTCTGAAGGAGTTTAGACTTTCGAAAAGGAATACTTATTTCATCGTTTCTAAAATTTTTTAAATTTATTTTTCATGATCGTAGAATTTTGTCCTTATGGTGTCGGCTTCATCGTTACCATTGGCGATGGTAAACAATCTCACAAAGTACGTACAGCACGGTACCATACACCTATGATAATTTTATCCTTTTTGAAATTTGTATTAAATAAGGTATTGTACTTGTGAAAAAATTTCAAATTTTAATTATGGACCGTTCGCCATGTCGGCTTGTATGAACCACACGGAGGTTCTACAGTTTGACACATAACACCGGCTGGTAAGCGGTAACGGAGTCGGTATTTTATATGATGCTATACGCCAAACGCTATACCACACCACACTCACATTGCTCGTATCAGTGCAGAGAGAAGCGAGGCTTATGTATATATATATATATATATATATATATATAGAAGGTTCAAGGTTGGGCTAGCCCGACGGTCGGGCCGCGACCTTCTATACATATTATATACATAAAGGGGATGTGATTCTATATTCTCTGGCGAGGGTGGCAAGGCGGTGGATCGTTGTTGATGGATTGAGCCCCCATAAAAGTTGTTGGGTTTCAATTTCCAGACGAAAAAACTAACAGAGAGACAGACGCTGTGTTTGTTTTAAAAACTGCTGCTAAATATAATTTATTAGGGTGAGTAAAATCTTTCAAGTATATTTAAATTTCATAATCAAGTAGACATTTTTGATGGTGACATAACCTTGAATATGATGTCTGCCTCAAAACGTGGTTACTAACATTTTCACTTATTATTAGTCTCTAATTAAATTTATAAACTTAACATTATAATGTCAGTGTCTATAATTGACCATGTTTTCTTAATCTGTTGATAAAATCTGTTGCCGTGACGTACCCATGGATAGTTCTGTCGTTAGTCGGGGGGGCTAAGAAGTGCGAATCTTCCATGCACCAAGTCTTTGTGATTGGCGATCAAGAAACTGCGGTTTTGAACTGTCAGGTAAATTTGCACACCAAGTACTTAACAGGACCTTTGTACAACTTGAAAATTCTATTTTCTCAAAATCCTTATCCCTTCTTGTTGCTTTGTTCCACTGTAAACGCCCAATCTAAAGTTATATTTGTCCTGAAAAAGAGGTCATTGCACATAATATCCAAACCATGCTTGAGAGATAATACATTTGCTTGCTGTCTTTACTCATACGACAACCCACCTCCAATCAACTGTGGAACTACTCAGCAGACTTGTTGGTGGGTTATTGTAAAAGATGATTTAATTTTTTTTTTCGTCAAGTTCACGAATATAGTGACAAATTTATTTTAATTATCGATTACGTTTTTGTTATCAACTGGATTTTCTTTCAGTTACCAAAATTCAAAACTTCTGTGGCACTTGAGTGCACAACGTCTGGATTGAATTGTCTTTATTCTCCAGACCAATTGCTCACAATGGGGAGATGAATACGCTATAGAGTAACGTGAATTTTATGAAGGCCCATGAAGGAGTGATGAAAAGTACATTGTACGGTGATTAGCTGAAAAATCTTGACTCTGTTGAATCCAATCTTTCAGACTTGGATCCACCGATGGTGTGCTCGAGTTTTTGGCCCTGTCTGGAGAGTGCTCTTCACTAGAGGTAATTTGTAATTACTAATAAAATTTTTTTTACTTTCTAAACCTTTTTTTTTGTCAATGATTATACATTGGATCCAATTTATGATTTTACATTGATTCAACCTTAAAAATGAGATTTTTGAACGTTTGTTACCGAAAAATGTTGATATTGTGAATATAAGTAGTACTTATTAATAAAACAATATTGTTTAGGTGGTGATGGCAATGGTAACCATGGAAGCTTGGCAAAACGACTTGACTATAAATGGCACCCTGAAAGCGAAACTTGTATCACTGGGCTGCATGTGCAATGGAGCCCTGAGAATGGTCCACAGCGATAATAACTTTCACCGATTGCAAATACCTTGACAGGTCTTGATATTTATTCCAGTCTTTTGATTAGAATTTTGCTTTCATTTACAGTTGATATCGATTTCGTAAAAAAAAATTTAACCTTATTAACTATCGTAATACATCTAATCATAATTTTTTTTTTTTTAATTGAAAATAAACACTTGGATTGAAATTTGATTGACAGCTGAGCTTTCTCCCTTCCTCTTTGTAATAACGATAAGGACGAGTATACACACTTATATATTATGTAAGTAACTAGTTGGTTACAAAACCATATAAACATAAGCGTGTTACAGTATAAGAGAGAACACTGCACATTACGATAGAGCTTTATTGCACACGCATCTCGTGCCCGATCTTGCTCGTAAAAAAAAAAAAAAAAAATGCAGTAAAGTTTTATTGGTAACTAAGATAATTTATCTTTGATTTATAACTCGAACGAACGAATAGCCGCTCGGTCGTCAACAGATTCATGAAAAAAAAAATACTAGCTTCTTCTACAGATTATAACCAAACGATTCACTAATATTTTAGGTAAATCCATCGTTGAGAAATTTTGCAAAAAAATATATGTGGCGTCTCAGCCACAGCGACCAGCTTCGCGCCCACGACGAAAGCAGACCATCGCCCCAAGGAACGTTTTCTTCTGCGCAATCGCGAGTCAACTCACGCATGAATACATTGCCGTTGCGCCACAGCTGAAGGAGAAGAGTCGTGGGATAGACTATTTTATTTATTTATTTATTTAT